CTCTTCTTGAGATAATAACCAACACCTTGAATTGCGTCCGGAGACCGATAGGGAGCCAGTGCAGCTCGCGGAGGACAGGTGTAACATGGGTGGACCTCAGTACACCCAGTATCGCTCGCGCGGCTGCATTCTGGACTAGCTGTAGTCTCCGAACGCTTTTCAAGGGTAGCCCCATGTAGAGCGCATTGCAAAATCTTCTTCAAGTCTTATTCTCTCAAGAAGAGAAGTTGTCAACGTTCTCCAGAGGACCACGTGGACTGGGATCTCATAGATGAGGAACCTGGTCCCGCTGGGCACACAATGGACCTGTCTGACACCCCCCCCCCCGTCCTCACCTGTCCCGAACCACCATAAGGATCTTCTCCGGCGAGGCCTTCTTCAGCGCCCGCTTTGCCTTGTCGATGTTCCACCCCGCGCAGTTCCTCCCGTTGATCTGGAGGATCTGATCGCCGAAACGCAGCCCCGCCAGAGCTGCAGGAGAGTGGGCTTTGACCAACTGCACGAAGAGTCCCTGCGGGAGAAGACGGGGTTGGTTCCACCTTGTGAGGACCTCTTCTGACCCATCTCCCCAAAGGCGACAAAGTTTACTGAAGGGAACTCAAAAGATTCCTTTAATTAGGAGCGCCGGCAAAACCTTTCTCTCTCGCCACAGGCTAACAAGTCCATCCGGCAGGATTAAATAATTAAATAATCCCCCGTCTTTAGATCGCCTCAAAGGGAAGAAGCGTTTCATCGCTGGTTTAGCCAGCTCTCAAAGGAGATAAAACCATCTTGGGGCAGATAAAACCTCCTAACTCTCGTCAGTCCTATTATTTCAATCTTACCTCCAGATCCACCTAAGATAACCAGGTAGGAGAACGGGGATGGCCCCAGGATGGTCCAGCAATTGTAGATCTCAGACTACTTAGGAGCCCCTGTCCAAAACTTACTCTCAGAGTAAGTGAGTCTTTGGCCTGCCACACTTTCTATTATTCTGCTATGCATTTTCTATGGTGGGAAAATGGGAGGGAGGATTCTCATACTAGGTAGCCATAACAACATTCTTTCTAGAAAACCAAGGTCATCCTTTGTCTCTGAACTTCTGCATCTGACCGGATCTGGATGGGTGGAACTGCCAGCATGGCAGTGGGAGACTGGACCATGGGATGGACTTGTTGGTGTGGGGGGCAAGGTCTTGAACTTTCAACTGGGTGGGGGAAACCGGGAAGCTTTCAGATTCGGGTTTCCCCAGATGTGCCAACATGGCTCTCTTAATAAATTGGAACTTTCAGCAATCCTTTGCCTCGGACTCTGATTTACTTTCGGATGCTATTTGGAAGCCTGTCACTGACCTTATCAATGGTCCTCAGCTTCAGTCCGGTCTTCCCACGTTCGTCCTTGCATAGTTGGATCTCACGCAAACCGGTTTTGATCTCCGCCCGACGCACCCCTGCGTCGCTTCCTGTGACGGGAACCGCCAATGGAGCTTGAGCTAAGGAAGAGGGGNGGTGAAATGAGGACCCAGACTGTGGGGGCGATATGCTGACTCTGTAAACTGCTTAGAGAGGGCTGAAAGCCCTATGAAGCGGTATATAAGTCTTAACTGCTATTGCTATTGCTATTACACATGGTTGCAGTTGTGATTCCTCTAAACGAATTTCCTTATCGCTCCTCGCCTTCAGACCAGGGTGGGTTCTATCAGTGTTGGCATCAGCTCGCTGTCAGAACGTGTACAGGTCATTGAGAATTGTTCTGCGCACACACAGAGAACGTGAAAAACTACTAAAAATATGCTGTCGATGGCAGCAGTGACTGGGGAACCAATTTGGGGGCATGGTCAGCCTGGGTCGCTGCTGGTTCTGCGACCAAGGCCAAATTACCACTACCGCTTCGCCCAAACCGGTGCGAACCGGTAGAAACTCACCTCTGCTATGGAGAGAAACCTTGCCAAATTGAAGTAGATCATTTGACCCCAGAAAACATAGATTCTGGGAACTCTTAAGAAGGAGCCATCTTCACCTGCGCTCTCTCACACCTGATCTGATCTGTTTCTTTCAAGTTTCCAGGTGTCGAGTTCAAACATCAATAAAGGCCGCGCATCACTGTCAATCATTCCAAGCAGTTTTTGATCTACAAAAGGGATGCTGGGAACTGCATGCTGCGCACCAAAAAATTTTCCACCTCAAAAAATACAAAAGCTTAGAAATGTGTATTTTTTTTAAATTTATTTGTTTCTTATGTTGGTTTTCAGGCCACCCGGTTTCCAAGGACTCTTGAGTCGTTCTCCAAGAAGGAGGCAAAGAATTAGGAGTCTAATCAATAAATAAAATTGTAATAGGTCTTACATAATTTCTTCTGTTATATAAGAAATATAATAAATCGGGGACGTAATTATAGAAGGTGGCTTTACGGGAAGGCAGAGAACGGCTTAATCATTTGTCATTTTGGAGAGCTGGACATCAATGGATGGTCCCACAGTTCCAAATTTAAAATCTGAAAAAGCGAAGAACGTTTATAGAAAGTCGTCCCAAAGGTGCTTTTTCCAGAAAGCAACTGGACTTTCTTTTTCCTGAGAGATGTGTTGCTTCTCATCCAAGGAGCTTCTTCAGTTCTGACTGAATGGTGCAGAGATGGGTTCCTATCAGTTCAGACTGGTTCAGTAATGGTTTGGTGGCCTGGGTGGGTCACTGGAACCGGCAGTGACCCAGGCCTGCCACGCCCCCGGACTGGTTCTCCTACGGGAGCCACCATCTTGATTTTCGGTTCTGCGCATGAGCAGAAGAATTGTCATTGCACAAATGTTATTGTTTCTCTTTTCTTTTGCCCATGCGCAGACCTATTTCTGTGCAAATGTGGACATGCATGCAATTTTTTGCACGCACCGAACCGGCAGTAATGCCGGGAGTAACCCAACCCTGGAATGGTGGAGTATGGAAGGATTTATATTCTTCCTTGCAGTCATCTGGTTGTTAGTGCTCTTACTGAGGATTGCAGGAATATCTGAAAAGCTCGGAAGGATTTTCAACCCATGCAAGTTGAATGCACACTTCACACCCAAGAAGACACTAAGAGAGAAGCTAGTCCAGCCCAAGGACAAAACACCCAGAAACAAACCGAGCAATGTGACATATGCAGTACAATGGGTCAACATTCTGAGTAATGTACCCCTTAAAAGCAGATGTCCGAGGCAGAAAAATTCCTCCAAGAACATGTTTATTGGATACACCATATCGGCACAACTGGTGAAAGAAAACCAACTCTGAAAGTTCCCGCAGTTTTCGTCTAATTTAAAGAGTAAAACTTCCCCTCTCCCAAGTGTGATCAGTCACATTGTCCAAGGAATAGGGCTGGCGGGATCCTCTCTTCCTTCATCAGCCACTAGTTATGATGACCTTGGTTCCCACAGGAAAAGCTTTCTATGTCAGGCCTGCAGCCATCTTTTCTTCTGGGTCTTTGGCCTGTCACACTTTCTATTATTCCACTATGCATTTTCTATTGTGGGAAAATGGTAGGGGGGATTGTACAGAGTTAGATGCCATGTAGCCATAACAACATTCTTTCTAGAAAGCCAAGGTCATCCTTTGTCTTTGTACTTCTGCACTTGACCGGAACTGGATGGGTGGAAGCTGCCAGCGTGGCAGTGGGAGATTGGACCATGGGATGGACTTGTGGG